ATTTCCCCTTTTAACATTAATGTTTGAATTTTCAGTTACTGATTATTATATATATATATATATATATATATATATGTGTGTGTGGTAATTTTTTTTTATATATATATCCTATGTGTTTGCGGTTTTTTATTACTTGAATAAAATCTAAATAAATTTATTTCACTATTGCATGCTTTCCGATGGCTCATCAGTAAGCTTGCAGACTTATAACGCTAAAAATCTGGTTTCGATATCTGAGAATGGAACAAACAAACAAATATTATTATCCCTACAAAAGTTTATCATGCATAAAAGTTACTGAGCCAGCCCTTCAAATAGTCAGAATATTGCCCAGTTAGAAACACAAAATAAGTTCTAAAGGTGTTGTAGATAGTTTTCCTATTCGTTCTGGTGGTTAATGTTGCCCAGTTACAAACCAAAAATAAGTTCTAAAGGTGTTGTAGATAGTTTTCCTATTCGTTCTGGTGGTTAATATTGCCCAGTTACAAACGTAAAAATAAGTTTTAAAGGTGTTGTAGATAGTTTTCCTATTCGTTCTGGTGGTTAATGTGCCCGTCAATGGACCTAAGGGACCATTTTTCGAGCCTCTTTGCCGAAAATCGTGCGGTGGGTGCGATGCAAGAGTGATGGTTAAATCCTATAATTCGATTAAAGTACTTCAAATGTTGGCGGTCGATGCTATTGATCAGCTGCCTTCCCTCTTGTTCATTAATTCAAAAATTTTACTGGAATCAGAGAATATTTATTCAACTAGCAAGCTAATATACTCAGATTGTGTGAATAAAAAAAACTTGGACATATTAATAAATCGCACATTTTTCATTAGATAGTAGTTAAATTTTGAAGTTTTATAACCTGTACGTTTACAATATCTTTTCTGAACTGAACTTCCTTATTCACTCTCCATGATACACATTAGGAAATAAGGCCTTGATCAAAAATGTTTTTTTTTTGTGTTTTTTTACGTGTCCATACAAATAGCTTGTATGGTTCTTCATGCTTTGACTGTTACTTGCCTAAACTTTTGAGGTGATCCTAAGTGATAACATGCTAACCATGGATGCACGGTTTATGGTCTAATTACTCCTTACACCTGGTGGCCTGACGTGGACTAGTATTTAGCGTTCTCGGAATGTTAACCCTGTGGTTCACGATTCGCAGCCCTTTGCCTCAGAAATGCTCTCCGCACTTTGGTGACGTAGGTGTTGCTGTCCGCTTATCTTCCCTTTAGACTTTCAGATTAAAAAAAGGGCTGTGATCAGATAGCACTTTATGTAAGTGTTCGAGAAAATTATGAATCAAGCAACCTTAGTCATGTCCATTCTACCTACCAGTGACTTATCACAAAGGTTTCAAGTTAACATTACCCTGCTTTATTTCATAAATTGTCATAAAAATTAGCTCTTATGCTACGTATAATCGTTTTCTAATTTTTACAACAAATTTCTGTGAAATGACAGTTTTAATTTTGTTGTTGTTGTTAAGCCCTGAAAAATGCCTTTATGTTCTGGCCCAATCATGAGATTTACTTTTAAACATTTAAAATATT